GGGACAGCTATGTATAGAAGAATGAAACTTGACCATTCTCATACACCATACACAAAGAATCGTATATCATACACAAAGAATAAACTTGAAATGGATAAAAGACCTCAACGTGAGAGGAATCCATCAAAATTCTAGAGGAGAACATAGGTAGTAACCTCTTCGATATCAGCCACAGCAACTCCAAAGGCAAAGGAAACAAAAGTGAAAATGAACTTTTGGGACTTCATCAAGATAAAAAGCTTCTGCACAGCAAAGGAAACAGTTAACAAAGCAAAGAGGCAACCCACGGAATGGGAGAAGTTATTTGCAAAGGACACTACAGACAAAGGGCTGATAGCCAACATCTATAAAGAACTCCTCAAACTCAACACTCAAAAAACACATAATTACATAAAAAAATGGGCAGAAGACATGAACAGACACTTCTCCAAAAAAGACATACAAATGGCTAACAGACACATGAAAAAATGTTCATCATCATTAGCCACCAGGGAGATTCAAATCAAAACCACATTGAGATACCACCTTACATGGGTTAGAATGGCCAAAATTAACAAGACAGTAAACAACAAGTGTTGGAGAGGATGTGGAGAAAGGGGAACCCTCTTACAGTGTTGGTGGGAATGCAAGTTGGTGCAGCCACTTTGGAAAACAGTGTGGAGATTCCTTAAGAAATTAAAAATAGAGCTACCTTATGACCCTGCAATTGCACTATTGAATATTTACTCCAAAGATACAGATGTAGTGAAAAGAAGGGCCATATGTACCCCAATGTTCATAGCAGCAATGGCCACAATTGTCTAACTGTGGAAATAGCCAGGATGCCCTTCAGCAGATGAATGGATTAAGAAGATATGGTCCATATATACAATGGGATATTACTCAACCATCAGAAATCATGAATACCCAACTTTTGTGTCAACATGGATGAGACTGGAGGAGATTATTCTGAGTGAAATAAGTCAAGCAGAGGTAGTCAATTATCACATGTTTTCACTTACTTGCGGAACATAAAGAATAACATGAAGGTCACTAGAAGGAAAGGAAAAGTGAAGTGGGGGAAATTGTAGAGGGAGATGAAGCATGAGAGCCTGTGGACTCTGAGAAACAAACTGAGGGTTTTAGAGGGGAGGGGGTGGGGGGATGGGTGAGCCTGTTGGTGGGTATTAAGGAAGGCACATATTGCGTGGAGCACTGGGTGTGGTCCATAAACAACGAATCTTGAAACACTGAAAAAATAAAATAAAATTAAGAAAACCTTACAGTGATCATCACAAAGCTAAGTAATTAAGAGAGTGTGGTACTGGCATAAAGAAAGACACAGATCAATGGAATCCAACTGAAAATCCAAAAACAAACCCTCATATTTATGGTCAATTTTTTTCAACAAAAATGTTACAAGAATTCAAAGGTGAAAAGTAAACTTCCCAAATGGATCTATGACAAACAGATACTCATATACAACTGTATATGATTTTATAGGGTTATTAGGGAATACAAATGAAGTCTAAGAATGAAACAATTCTACCACTCAAACACAACTCATGGTTCAACTGTTGATTTTTGTATATCTTCTTCCAGAATTTTTATGCATTTTTAACAAAAAAGCCCATGCTTCACCAAAATCTTTGCAAACATTATGTATAACAATATCATAATATTGTCCTGTAATTTGTTATTACCATTTACTACTGTATCATTTAGGTTCTTTCCAAATTTAATTATTATAAATAATCTTGCAAATTTCCTTGAGATAAGGCTTTTTCTATACTTCTTTGGAATAGATTTTTAGAAATTGGGTCAAGGATAATAACAACTTTAGGCTTCTGGTATACATATATATCTTCTTAACTGCTTTTAAAAGTTGTACCAATTTACATCTACCAGCAGTGTGAAAAAAAAAATACAGTTGGCCCTTGAACAACATGAGGGTCAGGGGCACTGACTCCCTATGTAGTTGAATAACCATTTATAATGTTTGACTCCCCAAAATTTTTACTAATAGCTTATTGTTGACCTGAAGCCTTATAGATAACATATACAATTAACACGTTTTGTACATTACATGTATTATATACTGAATTCTTAGAATAAAGTAAGCTAGACAAAGAAAATGTTATTAAAATCATAAGGAAGAGAAATACATTTACAGGTCTGTACTGTATCAAAAGCAATCTTCATGTAAATGGACCCATAGCAGTTCAAATCCATGTTGCTCAAGGTTTAATTGTTTCTGCTTCTATATAGCTTCACAAACATACCTTATTTTCATGAGTAGTATCATCTTTAAAAGTCTTTAGAGCATGTATTTGAAATTTTACTTATAAGCTATATTGGAGGAAGAACTCATTTTAAGTTTAGTAATAGGGGTAATATTAATATTTGCTATAAAAGTTTTGCATAACAGCAAAGGAAACAATCAACAAAACTAAAGGCAACCTATGAAATAGGAGAAGATATTTGCAAATGATGTATCAGATAAAGGACTAGTATCCAAAATCTATAAAGAACTTATCAAAGTCAACACCAAAAGTTAAATAATCCAGTTAAGAAATGGGCAGAAGACATGAACAGACATTTCTCCAAAGAAGGCATACATACGGCCAAGAGACACATGAAAAAACGCTCAACTTCTCTCATCATCAGGGAAAGACAAATCAAAAGCATAATGAGGTACCACTTCACACTTGTCAAAATGGCTAAAATTAACAAGTCAGGAAACAACAGATGTTGGCAAGGGTAGAGAAAGGGGAACCCTTCTACACTGCTGCTGATGGGAATGGAAACTGGTGCAGCCACTCTGGGAAAATAGTATGGAGGTTCCTCAAAAAGTTAAAAAGAGAGCTACCCTACGACCCAGGAATTACACTACCAGCTATTTATCCAAACGATACAAATATACTGGTTTGAAGGAGCATGTGTACCCAATGTTTATAGCAGCACTATCAACAATAGCCAAATTATGGAAAAAATCCAAATATCCACTGAAAGATGAATGGATAAACAAAATTATATATATTATATAATTATATAATATAAATATACATATATATAATGGAATATTACTAAGCCATCAAAAAGAATGAAATCTTGCCATTTGCAATGATGTGGATAGAACCGGAATGTATTACGCTAAGCGAAATAAGTCACTGACAGAAAGACAAACATCGAATGATTGATTTCATTCATTTGTGGAATTTAAGAAACTAAACAGATGAACATGGGGAAGGTAAAGAAAAATAAAATAAGATAAAAAGAGAGAGGGAGTCAAATCACAAGAGACTCTTAACTATAGAGAAAAACTGATGGTTGGTGGAGGGGAGGTGAGGGGGAATGGTCTAAATGAGTGATAGGTATTAAGGAGGGCACTTGCTGGAATGAGAACTGGGTGTTATATGTAAGTAATGAATCACTACATTCTACTCCTGAAACAAATACTGCACTATACGCTAACTTGATTTTAAATAAAATACTGGAAGAAAAACAAAAAGAGAAAACAAAAACAAAAAACAAACAAAAAAAGGTTTGCCTAGTTTTATGAGATTAATGTATCATATATTAAATAGAAGTCAAGGCCATTTTTCTTATTCTGGAAAAGAATGGGTTTGTATCAGTAAGATCAAATAAATATTTTGGCCATGTCTACAGGGCACTGTATTAGAAGTGGGAGAATGTAATGGGAAGGTACAGGCACAAAAATAGTCCAATAACAATATGAAATTTAAATAAATTTCAGAAAATAGCATAAGGTCTCAAGTTTGGTATAAAATTATTTGTCAAGAAGGCAACACTGGGTGTTTATGTAAGTGATTAATCACTAAATTCTACTCTAGAAACCAATATTGCACATATGTTAACAAAATTTATATTAAAAAAGAAACATGGAAAATGAAGCTTCTAGAAGTTTAGGGGAGAGAGAAATCACTTCAAGTTAGGATGAGACTTATTTTCTAATCATAGAACTTAGTACATATATAGGAAACCTAGAAAAGTCTTTGTCTTAACATTATTCAAAAGTCTTTAAACAATAAAGGTTAGAATTTTAAAAATTCTGATGTTTAATAAATGTTTCTAACATTTGACCATGAGTATGGACATTAATAGTGTCCATATCTAGATTACTGTTTTTTCTCTTTTCATTATTTCTACTTAAAGACTCATTTAAAAAAAAAAGATTTTATTTATTTGAGAGAGAGAAAGAGAGAGGGAGAGAGTGAGCATGAGAGGGGAGAAGGTCAGAGGGAAGAGCAGAGTCCCTGTGGGGCTGGATTTGATCCCCGGACTCCGGGATCATGACCTGAGCCGAAGGCAGTTGCTTAACCAACTGAGCCACCCAGGAGCCCCAAGACTCACTTTTAACAAATTAGCTTGTGATAGATGGTACTAAATTCATCCCTGCAGTGAGTGGTTAATTGTACCTGTAGTTCATCTAGTCCTGTCATCAGGGCTTTCTTTTCCTTGGTATGGATTTGCACTTGGGATAGCTATTATAATGTAACAGGGAGTTGACTGGCACTGCATTTTTAGTCTAGTATCTATCATATAGAAAAATATCTTTCTTGGGAATTAGAATATTATTCATGTTAAATAAATATCACTATCAACACTGACAGCCCAGTTTAAGTCAATGCTCTGGATGAATTTCCATCTTATTACTTTGAAGAAATCAATTCACTTTTATGCAATGTCTGATGGTTAGACACATATGTGCACACACACAAAACACATTTTTATGGTACTTTTAAAGAAATAGTTGATGAGTTTTTGTAAGATGGGAAAGCTTTTATATTAAACTTGAAAAGCTTCAGAATTTGCCACACAGAAAGCCACAGTTTCATATCTGAAGACTAAAGACAACACAGAGAGTTCCCATTATCTGAATATTCATCACGCAAACAAAAGTTCTCACATCATAAAATACTGATTAATTTATACATCACTCATTAATTGTTCCTACTCAAATATTCTTCCCTCCTCAACACTAAAAAGCCTGTCCTGACCTATTACGATAAAAGTTTTGTTAGTTGGTCTTTCCTTCATCATTGGATGTTGCAAATTTATGTCTTCTTTTAGGATTCCATTTATGGCTGTAAATAATATAATGAAATTGACAATAATATAAATTGACTCAAAGTCAATATCAAGGAAAAATGCAGGATTTCATGAATGCTATTTGAGTACTACTCAAATTGCACATAAAGCCAGTTAGAACCGTTAAGAAGTAAAATAGAGAAGAAAACCAGCAAGGTTTATGACTCAACAGGTGTGCCAAAGGAGAATAATTTGAATATCAAAGATTGGGGAGACTCTTGGGAATACTGGAAAAACAAACAAACAAAAAAAGACCCAGAATATTTTTGCAAAAAAGAATCCTCTTTAAAAGCATCTTAGAAGGTTAAATATTAAGAGTTGGATGCCATATTGTGTTATCAAATGTGTTAGAAATAACAAAAAAAATTAAAATGTCATTCATTCTTTATTGATTTTTGTTATTCCTACAGTTAAAATTATAACCTGTATTTAAATATCTTTGGTTTATGGGGCGCCTGGGTGGCTCAGTTAAGTCTCTGCTTTCGGCTCAGGTCATGATCCCAGGATCCTGGGATGAAGCCCCGCATTAGGCTCTCTGCTCGGCAGGGAGCCTGCTTCCCCCTCTCTCTGCCTACTGCTCTGTCTGCTTGTGATTTCTCTCTCTATCAAATAAATAAACAAAATCTTAAAAAGAAATAAATATCTTTGGTTTAACACTTTTCATAATAAAGTCTTACTAAACCTTCCCTTTCCACTCCTATGCTCCTACTACTTACTATACACCTTTTGTTTCTACTTCATTTAGATGCCTTGTGCTGGTATTAATTATTTTTAGATAACAACAGTAATACAGGACAGTCATAAAAAGAATTTTTATTCTTAAAAATGAACAAATTAAATGAATTCCTTCTTAATTTAACATGGATGTGAACCTTAATTTCATGTGCGCATAAATAAAGCATTCCATAGTTCTAGTACAGTGTTAACAAAGAAATCAACCATCATTCTCAATCTTTGTTTATACCATGAGAGATTTCAGTGCAGAAATGAGGGTATTGGATGAACAAGTAATTAAAGCTCACCTAAATAAACAGAGGTCTGCAAAGTCTGGGAGATTAAAATCAATGAAAAGTTATATGGTAAGTCAGCTCATCAGCTCAAGGATCGAAATATAGGAGAAATATGATCATAATTCTGATTAACCTTGCCATAATATTTCTCAGCAACTAAGTCTTTTTAAAGATATATATGAAAAGTCAAATGACATGGATATGGGATAATCAATCTGTCACACGAAAAGCAAGGATTGTTTGGAAAGTGATAAAAATCAATGATAATTTTCCAAGATGATAGGAAAATATATTCATTTATTTAGAGGAGAAAAAACAATCTCTATGTTAAGTAGTCCAACTGTTAAATAAAATGTCAGATTTCATGTTTGTAAGAACAAATACTTTAATAATAATAACTACTTTTTAATTAAAATTTATTGGTATATACTATATGGAAACTTGAGAATATGGGTAATAGAAACAAGTGTTTGCTGATGTTCAAACAATTAAAACTTTAACTCAAGTATATAGTATTCTGAAGAACAAGTAGGATAAAAATGAGTGAAGTGCCAGGTATAAAAATTTAGTGAATTAGAGTAAATGCACCAATTAACAGTTGCCATATGATAACATGGGTGATTGTGGCCAGATACTCTGATTATTCAAGCAGCGTCAGAAATGTTAACTTTAATGTAAAATTTCCTAATTTTGAAAGATTATATAACACAAACGACATAATAATAAATTATTAACTTATTAATAATTTATTAATACATAAATTATTTTTTATACATGCTGAATCTGATTTGTAGGCCAGTGGTTTTGTAAATCTAGAATAAATAATGCTATTTTGGTTATGTATAGTTGATTTACATTTATAATAAAGAAAATGTTTCAAATACTTCAGTCCAATTTTCTCATATCAATCCTACTAACATCATTCTTTTTTTAGTAAGCTTACAAATGAAAATACAAAACTGTAAGATCTTAACCATGCTTTCATTTCCAAATGTCTTGGCATTGAGTAAGAGGGAGAAAAGAGAAGTTAAGTACGTATCCAGACTTGTGAACATTTAGTGAAGAACAATTACAATCTCAAAGATACACAACTACAATCTAGACTCCTTTTTTTAATTTTCTTTCAGTTATCCCTTAGTTATTCAGAATGACAGAGTCCTGTAGACTTAGTTGTCTGTTTCAGGAGCAGATGGGAAAAGTAGCTGCTTTAAAATGTGATTAAAATACGAGGCCTCTGTTTAGTATTTATTTTTCTTTTTAAGCTTCTGATTTTAAGATTAAGCAACTTTAACCAAGGGAAGAAGGACCAGACAGGTGCCGTAGCCCTAGTTCAATGCTTATGTCTCTACACGGGAAATGCTCGAACAACAAACAATCACAGAAAATAGACAATTGGCTCTATCTTCAGCCAAAGCAATGAGAAAAAGTCACTCATATATTGTTGGGGGGAGTGCAGTGTGGGTGTACAATCTTTAAGGAGAGTATAGCCAATACTTACTAAAATTAAAAATGCACTTACTATTTTGTATTCTGGTTATGCAAATCTATGAACGTGTTAAAATTTGTAGGATGGTACATCAAAACAAGGAAATCAGTTTTACTATATGATAATTTTTTTAAAAGAGCAAGTGAGCATACTATACTACCATAGCCTACTTCCAGGGTTGTGGTCACTTTCAGGTTAATAATTACAGCACCTTAAGGGTGGGCAATGCTGACAGTTCCCATCCATTATCTCATCTGATTTTATAATTATCCAATTAACATAGAGAGTAATCTCCAATTTTTGCAGAAGAGTACACACCAAGCCTCCATGAGAGGGGGAGTGATTTACCTAAAAAGCCACGTGGCAACGGAATAATAAAGCCCAGACCGAATCCAGGCCTGTCTGCACAATTTGAAACAGGTTCCATCCCCAATGCCCCAGCTCTCTGTGGCTCTGAGATGGTTGAAACAATAAAGTTTGTTTTTTTTTTAAATGCGTTAACTCTTTGACCTAGTAATCCTGCTTCAGAAATTTAACCTACAGATATCCTAAACATGCACAAAACAGTAATACTCTATTTCTTCCACTGTAGAAGAGTTTATATCACCAAAGATTGAAAGTAACTCAAATGTTCCTCCACCAGGGGCTGATTAAATAAACTATGACACACTTCCAATGGAGAACCATATGGCTCTGAAAAGGAGTAAAGAATATTAAAACCAAAACCAAAACAAAACAAATAAAAAACCTCCTAGAACACCAAGAAAAATTGTTCAGCAAAGAAAAAAAAAAAGCAAACTATAACAAAATATATTGTATGCTACCCCTTGTGTAAGGGGAGAATATATCTGTATTTGTATCTACCTGTGTTAGTATGTTGTGTGTCCAAACAAACACAAAAGGGTACACAAGAAACTACTAATAGCTTTGACCAGAATGAGTTGGTGGCAGAGAAGACGGGGACACAGGTGGAAGCAAGATTTTTTGTGAGTTCTTTTTAATATTGATTTGAGTTTTGAACCATATGTGAAAAGTTAAAAAGACAGTTAAGAAAGAAAGGGATTATAGACAGGTGAGTGGAGCTTTAAGTTTATGTGCTAACCTTTTACTTTGCTCCCAGAAGCAGCATTTTTACTTTAACCTTTCTCCTGGCTCTAGCAAGAACAAAGCATGTTCTACTTAGTTTTTGCTTCATGTGAGCCTGAAGAAGGAAGGGAAAATCCGTATTGGAGACTTAGGTGGAGAACACATTTATTGCGACTTAAAAAGAGCCATCAACTAAGGATAAGCAGCTTAGTTCCTAGATTTGTTCAGCATAGTCCACTAAAGGTATTATTAATTTTATCTGAACAGGGAAGGAAATACCTGCTCAATTGACTTCAGAACTAAAATTAGGATTTCTTTATTTCTGTTACAAATTGCTAAGAACTAAATATTGTATGCGTGTTTGAAAGAGCAAAGGATTCCAAAACCTTGGTCTCAGCAGTTAAACTGTCAAATACAAATACCAGATAATCTATATCTACTTCACTGCCATCCCCTAAGAATCATTCTTCACAGAACCCTCACTGAGAACTTCTCCTTATTGTAAAAAGTACAGAATGATTTGCAAGTGAAAAAAACTTTCCAGGCTCAGGGTTACCTGCTTTCCATTGGAGCTCTGTAAAGCTGCTGTAAATGATGATAAACAATCATAGCTTATATTTCTGGAGTGATTTGCAGTATACAGACTGAATTCTTCTATCTTATTTCATTTCATCTTTACACTCTGATATGTGGGTATTATTAGCTCTGTTTTATAAATTAAGAAATTGAAGTTCAGAGAAGTGAGGTAATTGGATAAGATCCTACCCGCAGGGGCATGTGGGTGGCTCAGTTGGTCGAGCATGTGACTTTTAATTTCGGCTCAGGTCATGATCTCAGGTTGTGGGATTCAGCTCCATGTCTAGCTCTGTGCTCAGCGCAGAATATCTCACTGCACCTCTCCCTCTGCTCCTTTCCCCCACTTGTGCTCTCTTTTTCCCTCTCTCTATCTATAGAATAAAAAAATAAAATCTTAAAAAAAAAAAAAAAAGATCAACCTCCAGAGATTGGCAGAGGCCAGACTGGAACCCAGATCTAATCCTAAGACCAACATATAGTCTATTTTCACAAAGTTATAAATATATATGTATACATACATATGTAATTATCAATGTCTGCCATAAATACACATATGACTAGTTTAGAGAAAACTAATAATAGTTACATCTGTTGAGAAAGTTAAGTCTTAAAGTTGTTCTGTAAGGAAAAAATACCCAGTAGTTAAAAACACCTTTGGAGATAATTTAAATTACCCACCAGGTAAAAGACATATAGTGTGGATGTTTAAAAACCCTGGTTATATTAAATTTCAAAGTATAAATTAATATATCACATACATTAGGGTACATACCTAAATGTTACCTTACAAAAGAGAATTATAATAGGTGAAAAGGTAAATTGC